AAAAAGTTCATTTTCCGGCGACTTTGACCGGCGGGCGGCGGCGGCGGGGCCTGGAAGAAAAGAAAAGAAGAAATGGGGTCAAATTGAAAATTTTAAAATATATAAAATTCGAATTTGGCCCTAATGACCGGAAGTTAACCTAGAAACGGGCTAATGGCTCATTAGTGAAAGGATTGTGTAAGTTCAGGGATTTTTGTGAAAGGATTTGAAGTTCAGGTACCACTTCGAAATTCCAGCTAAAGTTCAGGTACCATTGGTGAATTTTACCACTACCAGTTGCTATACTTGTGGATTGAGTACCCCCTTCTTATATTTAGGATTAGGACAAAGTAGGACGACTCGAATTCGTCCCGGTTTGTTCTGATCCCAAATTTTACGGGACAAACCGGGATAAGGTTGTAATCCAAACCATTCCGGACCGTTTATATATAACGAGACAAGACGTGGAACAACCTAAAATCTGGATCGTCCCGATCCGTGCCCACCCGTAGTTTAAATTATGGTTGAATAGAATTGACATACGAAGTAATTTTTTTTTACAAAACAAGAAGTGTAGAATATATTTTATTTTATCAAATAATCGATGAAGACATGCAAACAAACAAAATATATCTATAAACCGTAATACTAAACAGGTAAATCATTTTAAGACGGTGGGAGTATAAGTTAGTACTTGTATAAAACTAAAAAATACAATTCACATGTTTAAAACTAAATAAAAAGTTTTATAAAATAAGCATTCACATTACTATGTTATTTTAATAAATGAAAACAGATACGTATCAAAAGTCTCAAATAGTATAGGAGATAATTTAGGTAAGAAAGGAGTATCATTTTTTTAAAATTTCACATTTGATATCAATGATTATTGGACCAAGTGAAAAACGACTTAATAATTTTTTTCTTTTAAAGTCTTAGGTTCGAACCTCTTCGTATCACATATGTATAAAGCTCTCATTAACTGATTCGCCCACTAATGTTTTATAAAATAAGCATTCACATTACTATTTTATTTTAATGAATGAAAACAGATACGCATCAAAAGTCTCAAATAGAAAAGAAGATAATTTAGGTATGAAAAGAGTATCATTTTTTTAAATTTCACATTTGATATCAATGATTATTGGACCAAGTTAAAAGCGACCTAATTTTTTTTAAAAAAAGTCTCAGGTTCAAACCTTTTTCTATCACATGTGTAGAAAGCTCACCTTCACTGTTTCTCCCACTGATGTTAGGTGCATTATTTGAATTGGTGTAGATTAATTGAGACTCATAATTTGACTTAAAATTAATAACACACTTACATAACAATAAATATTAAATACTGGAGAAATAAATATTTGAATCTAGATAGAATTTGAGGTGAAAGAGAAATCTTTCACCTTTAGCCATTGGATCATCATAAGGTCATGGGATGATGATATTCGAAGCAAAAAAAGAAAAAAATGTTGCTGCCCAGGATCGAACTGGAGACCTTTAGTGTGTAAGACTAACGTGATAACCACTACACCACAGCAACTCCTTTGAGGCCAGATTTGCGTTGTGATTATTAATTGTGTGTATTATGCATCACTATTTCAATCATAAAAATAGCAAGCTTGACAGTACTCCGTTCATATATGGTTATAAATTTGAACTCCGGGAGAAACGGGTCAGGTGCGGGTACTATGGAGCCCTAATTGATTTGGGTTTGGATTTGGATCCAGGGGTCAGGGAGTCTTGCTTTCATCTTGCAAAAACCGCACCTTTTGGCAGGGAAGAAGAAATGGCTACGGGATTGGCTCGGAGCTGCGTCCAGTCCCTGCTGAAGGTGGTCAACTTGCTCTTAGGGGTGGCTGGGATCGCCATGATCATGTACTCCCTCTGGATGTTCCGAGTTTGGGAAAAGCATATGCCCGGACGGCGGCCCGGACCCTCTCCTCTTCCCTTCTTCCCACCCGAAGATGCCCCTATTCCTTGGTACATTTCCTCGTCTCCTCTTCATGTCCTTTCTTTGTATGTATAAATATTTCAGATTCAAATGAAACTTATTTGCTTTTTTTTTCCTCTCTTGATGTGTTTGTGAGGAAATGGCTCCTTTTTGTTTAAATGAGAAGTCTTTGCCTGAAAATTGGATGTCTGCAGTGTACCACTCATTGATTCATTTCTGGGAACTGAAATTGGATTGTGATTGAAGAAATGGGGAATCTTTATTTTTTGGGTCTAATTACTCAAATAGTTTGCTCAAGTTAATTTCTTGCTGAGTTTTCATGTTTGGAAGTTTTAAGTAGCTTGTTACTTCAAGAGATCTTTGTTACGTACTCTGCATATATTGTTGAACATATAGATATTTCAGTACGATTGATGTGTTTCGTATCTGTAGTTTATATTCTCAGTTACAAATATTGCTTGCTTTTGAAATGTTCATATTTTTATTTGATGTCATTTAATAATTTTTTTTTTTTTGCATTCAACACCAGGTTCATTTACACTATCCTTGGTCTGGGTATCACTCTGTGTTTCATCACCTGCTCCGGTCATATTGCTGCAGAAACTGTGAATGGCTGCTGTCTGTATATCGTATCCTCTGAAATATGATCTCATTGGAAAGACCCATGCATTTCTTATCTTGTTTGTTGTTCTTGAGACTCCAATATAAGTCTGTGTATATCCGGATATCTTTTTTGCTCACCGATTTGAGAAAAACAACTTTTGATTTCCTTAATTGTGGTAGTACATGGTGTTTGTCTTTCTACTTGTAGTGTTGGAAGCTGCTGTGACTGTAGATGTTTTCTTAAACAAAAACTGGGAAGAGGTATAATTTTGACACATTGTACATTGTAGTTCAGTTTGAAACCAGCATTGTGATGGATAGATAGCTTCACAAACCGTAGTTATTTTACCAAGTGTTTTCTATTTGCTGAGCAGGACTTTCCTGATGATTCAACTGGGAACTTTGATGTTATCAAAAAGTTCGTTAAAGAACACTTTGACTTGTGCAAATGGATTGGCTTGTCAGTGGTTGCTGTGCAGGTCCCTCTCTCCCTCCCTTCCTCACCCCAAAAAAAAGAAGTTTTTACAAATAAAAAACCCCCCTTTTCATAAAGAATGAACATTTCTCCCTCTCAACTTGTATTCTTAAGGAATGTGCCAGGGGCACCCCACTTTTTTCATTAGCATGAATTTCATAATCGCCTACCGGTTGTTTTTTTATTTTTGTTTATCCACATGAAGGCACTGAGCATTTTACTGTCAATGATTCTCAAAGCTTTGGGACCGCATCGCGAGACATACTATCACAGTGACGATGACTACATTCCTGATAGAGTTCCTTTGTTGAAAAACTATGTCCCTCAAACTTCATATGTTGTTGGCAACCCTGTACATGGACCCAATGGCGATACTTGGAATATCCGGAAATAATGGTTTCTACTCTGCCCTTCTGTTTCATGCCAATGAGCTTACCCGTTCGGTTGTCTACTTCTCTCTTATTTTGCCCATGCTTTGGTATTTTGTAGGCAAGCAGACGAGTGGAAAATGTTCTTTACATTACAGAATCTATGGAGGGGCAATTGAGTGAGTGCAGATGATTGAACATGGTGTGATCGGGCATTTGGCTCGCTTTCATTGGGTCGGGGTGTAGGATTGATTTATCTGATAATGTATATATGTATATATATTGTGTAACACTATGGTAATCTTGACTGCAAATTCAATCTTTGTTGTCATTATTCTTGATGGGGTTGCCCTTGCCCTTGTGCTTTTATTCTTAGTGCAACACAAGTTTGTGTTTAACACAGTACAGAGTACAACTAATACTGTAAATCTTTTTTCTTCAAAAAATAAGTTTTAGAATAAGTTCTCCCACATAAGGCATGTTTTTTTTAAAAAATTTTTTATACTCCGTAGTTTAATTATTCAAATTTCAGATTCTAATATGTAGTTACTTGGTTCCTGTATCTAGATCTTTGTTTTCTACACAAATTCTATGGTAGACTTAAATCTACTGTGGACCTACATATAAGGATAATAAGCAATTCCTTATTACCTTGATGAGTATTTAGTTTAATTAAAAAATAAAAAAGAAAAATTTTATGTGAGGTGTACAAAATGGTATGGACCCAAAGTATACTATAGAAGCACTCAGAATGTAATAAGAATGAGTAGCACCCTACTACTTGAATATCAAAAGGGTGATATGGGACCATATTTTTTTAGAAACTAAATCTAAAAGCAGATTGGATTATGTAACATAATGCCTTGAATTCAAATAATTAACTAGACATAAATTTTCATGATATTGAATTCTTTTACGGAGTAAATTTTTTTGATAATAATTAAATATATTAAGGAGAATTTACCTAAATAGTATTTCGTACTAAAACATAGTGATTTTTCCAATATAGTACCATATGTTTTTATTTCCCAGTGTAATACCACTGTTCATTGTCCGCTGGTCATTGTTTAAGTAAATGTCCACAGCCACTGAATATTGTTCAAACTAAATGTCCACCATTACTGGACATTGTTCCTGCCACTAGACATTATTCAAGTACTATTTAGAGAATTAAAAAGTTTAAGTACTACATTAGGAAATGACATATGTTTTAGTACTAGTGCAAATTTCACATATATTAACGCTCAAGAAGTCTATTGTCAAATGTTAATCCAAAATTGTTGCAACTTTAATATAAGAGATAAGTGCAATCTTATACAAGCTCAATGATGATAAAAAAACAAAGTGGTTTGCACCCTACCAGAAAATTTCATTTCAACATTTGGTATAAAATTGGTCATCTATGAATATCATGTCTACATTTGTAAAAATTCTCACGTGTAGAAAACTCTGTGCTACATATTTTTCTTCTGCGCCAAAAAATGTATATATATATATATATATATATATATATATATATGTTAGAGTTAATTGTATCCCACATCGGAAGTTGAATAGAAAAGTTATCGGTATATAAGGTCTTGAGTTGAACTAAGTAATCGATTGGATTCAATCTTTTAATGTGGTTCAACCCAAGTGTCTTATTGCCCAATCCAATTGTCCATACCCATCCTAAATTCTATCATGGTATCAGAGCCAGTTTTAACCCACCTCGTTTGTCAAGGTGTCCGTCTAGACATTCATTCCTAGCGGCCCGTTTGTCTTTAGCCCAGTTGTCCGTATGGAGTGTGTACCCAACGGCCTGTGGCCTGTTTAACACGATTGCTCGTCTGGAAGTTCATACCCAGCGACTCGTGGTCTTTAGGTGTTGGCGCTCAAAAAAAAAAAAAAAGTCAAGGGATTGGGAGTTCATTTACAAGTGGTCAACCGGTTAGATTCAAAATGGCCCGGTTGTCCACTTGAGGGGGAGTGTTAGAGTTAATTGTATCCCACATCGGAAGTTGAATAGAAAAGTTATCGGTATATAAGGTCTTGAGTTGAACTAAGTAATCGATTGGATTCAATCTTTTAATGTGGTTCAACCCAAGTGTCTTATTGCCCAATCCAATTGTCCATACCCATCCTAAATTCTATCAATATATATATATATATATATATATATATATATATATATATATATATATCTGTTCTTGTGGATCATTTATATAGTCTATGAAACTCTCTCTTTCAATTCAACCCCATCTCTGAGCTCCATTTCCCTCTGCACCAGATGCTCAACATCCCCAGAATGCCCTTCGCGTTCCTCTCCGTTCTGAAACAAGAGCTCAATCTCCTCCAGAGATTTCCCTCTGGTTTCCGGGACGAGTGCATATGTGAAGGCAACCGCGAATGCAGAGATTGCAGAGAAGACGAAGAAGGTCCCACCCACAGTGATTGCCCTTGAGACAGACAGGAAAGACATGGCCACCACCCCACTGCACACCCTATTGCCCACTGCTCCCATTGCGGAGGCCTGTGCCCTATACTTGAGGGGAAATATTTCTGATGTCAAAACCCAACAAACCGGGCCCAGCCCGATTGAGAAGAACGCGACGTTCCCACAAACCAAGAGTGTCGCGAGCACGATCCCAAGGGGCCCGTTCAGGAACGTGAGGGCGAAGCCCAGCCCAAAGAGGCAGAGTGTCATCCCCATTGTGCTTGCATAGAGCAGTGGCTTTCTCCCAACTTTGTCTATGAGGAATATGGCAATCAATATGAATGCTGTCTTTGTGATCCCCACCGCGACGGTTGCAGCTAGGAGTTTTGTCTCCCCTTCGATCCCCGCTGCTTTTAGGATCTCCGGGCTGTAATAAACCGTTGCATCAATACCTGTTAATGTAAAAAAGAATCAATCTTTGCGCGCAAGATTTGGTTTTTAAAACATTTTCTGGGCTTACAACCACAAACTTGAGCTTCTGGTTGAGTTGGTTCTTGAAAATAAATACCTGTGACTTGTTGGAAGCACTGGATTCCAAAACCGGTGATGAGCATCCGGGCAAGAGGAGGGGGAGGGTTCAAAAGCTCGCGCCACACTGATTTCTCATCATATTTATCAGCATTTGTGGTTCCAATCCCAGCAGCCAGCTGAATCTCTGCAAGTCTCTCTTCCACTTCTGCGTCATTGTCGTTTGTTTTCACAAGCACAGCCTTGGCTTCTTCCATCCTGTTCTGGACAACCAACCATCTTGGAGACTCTGGGATTACACAGAGGGCAAAGGCTATGAAAACTGAGGGGAGAATTCCCACGGCGAGCATTATGCGCCAGTTTATGTGTGGGGACAGCCCAGAAAACGCGTAGTTTGAGACATAACCAAGAAGGATTCCAAAGTTTATGAAGATCTCAGGGAAAGAAGTGAGTGAGCCTCTATCGACGGTTGGTGAGATCTCAGCTATATAGACAGGGGCAATCATGACACCGAATCCGATTCCAATCCCAGCAAGGAATCTCCCAATCATGAGCACTTTGTATGAAGGAGCAACAGCCATGATTGCTGCGCCGGCTTGGAAGATAATGGAGGCTAACCCCATTGTCCACTTTCTACCAACGGCGTCTGAGGTTCTTCCTCCAATTAAGCTACCCAAGAGTGACACAATGCTCAAAATGCCTACTAGAACTTCTTCTTGCACCTCTGTAATCTTTAGATCTTCTTGAATAAATATGATTGCTCCACTCATGACCCCCACATCTGCAGATCAAAACACACGCTATAGTAACTCTACTTGTCCAAAATGTGTTAACTCTCTTATCGAAGCAATTGTCAAAATGGAAACCAACATATGAAGCCTACATATATTCTATTCTTTGAGGACAAAACCCCAAGTCCTGCTTATATATCCAAGTCTTGCTTAAAGATGTTGTTGAGATTATTATTCTTTATTTTCATCTGTCCCAGATTCAGACATTCACAATTTCCAATAAAGGATTAACCAGAACAATGAGATCAGGCTTTTTGGTTGAGACAGATCAAAACCTTTAATATCAAGTATCTATGAGGTGATAGAATGGAACTATGGTAAAAATGATAAATTTACCATAACCAAGGAGGACATTGTTGAGGGAAGCAAAGACAGCACAAGCAAAGACATATTTCTTAGTGCTATTCCTCCTCTTCTCAAGCTGGTGATGGTGGTGAGAAGGATCATCATCATCATCAACAACAACATTGCTTCCATCATAATCATCCATCCTCTTATATTTGTTCTTTCTCCCCAATGTATAATCAGAAATTCCCATTTCCACATTCCCATTTTCTTGTTGACCCACCATCTCTTCCCCCCCAAAGACTGCTCCTTTATTGGATTCCCAGCTGTAAAACCTGAAGTTTGAACAAACCCAGAAGCCTTCGAGGGATTAAGATCCTGCCAAAGGTCGGGGATTTGAATTCCCAGATCTGGGTACAAGGAAAGATGAACAGAGAGGTGGGGAAAAGGGGGTTCTTTGGGTCCAATCTCTGTAACAATGTCAAATGCGGTGTATGAAATGAAACAAGATTTCACCAAGACATCTTGATACGCGTCAATTGACTTCAACTTTTATTACAAAATAGTTTGCGGATTTAACTCGGATTGGGATAGAAATGTTTGCTAATTTAACTCGACTTTAATGGTTGAATTTTATTCAATAGATACTCCGAAATTTAATCAGTTTTCTTTTCTAGTAGTAAAACACTAAAACCTTTGTATAAAAGTTAGTGTATTTTTAAGATAAAATCTTAAATGAATTAACAAAAATTATGCTACAAAATCACCAAAAATATATCATTAGCGTTTCATAGGCCTTATATAAATTTCTCATCGATAAATATTGCATGTATAAAAAAATTATTTATAATATCAAATTAGATGAATTTCTAGCATTTTGAATCAATAATAGTACCCGTACATGTAAAATGTAATTATACAAAAATGTGACTGATGAAAAACATTGTGAATTTCTAATACTAAAATGTATATAATGCACTTTAGATGTATATATAGTTGCTAATTTTAAAGAATACTCGGTATTTTACATGAATTTTCTAAAGAAATAAATACGGAATACATCACAAGTTTTGTTTATTAAAAAAAATACTCTGCCGTATGAGTAAAACTTGGGACGGATGGAAAAACAATTACTAGAAAAAATTGAATTTATGAAGCGTTAAGCAACAGCTGGATAATAGCATACATGTCTAATACGCAAATTAAGTTTTGAAAACAGTTTAACAATTACCTTTCCATTAAAAAAAGGAAGTAGACAAATACTCTGGGATGAAGGTAGTAGGATTCTTTTAAGTTTGGAATATCTTAATAATTTAGACCTACACAAACATGAAATAAGACCCAAGTTTAGGTCGAGTTGAGATCAAAATTTTGCTCATATATACACTCTTGAGCTAAACATCTAACATATCCGGCCATAAAAGTTATCCAAAAGGACCACATACTTGTCGAGCATGCGGCTTTTTAATACTCTATGACGGAGGTAGTATGTTTGTATGTATATGTGTATTTATGTATGTATGTATGTATGTATGTATGTATGTATATTGAAGACTGGTCTAGCGGCTCATGTGGGCAAAACACAAATCCTAACCATCCATACGATCTTGCGAGCCGTGCCGGACCGACCCAAATCAATTTATACACTTGTCTATATTCGTCCATTTCTAAGGAGGGATGGGCGAATGGGATGGATCAACCCGTGTTTGTGCAGGTCTACCTAATCAAATTAAACAAAAAAGTTTCAAGTCCACCTTTCTTTCAAAAATAATTGTGTTATTTATAAATTAATAAAGAAATACAAAGTATCATGACATTTTCAAAATTATAAGAAGTTTTACTCCCTACTCTGTATTAAATAAGAAATGATATAAATATTTTATTTTATGAAATAATTAATAAAAATAAATAAATATAAATAAGGTCATGTGAATTTTATTTAAAATAATGAGTAATTGAAAATTGGCACATATTTTTCGAACGAGGAGGGTAAGACTTTTGATGCATGGAACTCCGTAGGGTCGCTGGGTCCCGCACTTTCTTTTTACCCCGCGTGGCTTGTAGTCTACACTCTACACTTTCTTTCCTTCGTTGTTTTTTTACTCTCTCCCCCCAAATATTTACAACATTTGCTTTTTCAGTAGTTGTGTAAATTTTTCTTTATTTCTATGTTTTCATTGGTTATTTGATAAAATAAAATATTGTTGACACTTCTTATTTCGAAGAATTTTTCATGTAGTTTTTTGATATGTAAATTTTATTTTTTATTTCTATACCAATATGTAAATAAAATGAATTGAAAAAACTTGATATTTTACTTCGAGAATACAAGTGTGGCAAATATTTAGGGACGGAGAGAGCATAAATTTTACGGTGTACTCCGTAATTTTACTGGGAATCTGTTTGGATCCATATGGCTTCAAATTAAGGCTTTAGAACTTTTATTTTTAAATTTTTTAATATACACATTGTAAAATTAAATTAATAAAGTTTCGTTAATTAAATTAATTTTAAAGTTTTTTTCATTAATTTAAAAAAATGGAGTACTTTTTTCTGTCATAATTTTGGTCTTGTACATAAATGTCCAAAGCATTAAAATTTGGAGTCTAGTGAGTAGAACCGAATGTTTGAAAATTAAATATACATATTTCTTTTAATTAAAAACAATTTGAGAGTGAAACATGTTTCTAGATCGTGTTAACGTTAGTTATACGGAGTATTTTAAAACGGTGAAGTTCTATTGACACCGGAGTACGGTGACACTCCGGTGTCACTGTTATTTAAAGGCACTTCCGGTGCTCCATTTGTAAAATTGACGGTTCTTACACCACAAAACCCCCCACCCTACCCCCNCCCCGCCGTAAGCCCCTCACAAAATGTGTGGATATTATGCAATGTTTACTGTTAGCATTTTCAAAGTTAATCTATACTGTTAAAATCATATCCAAATTGCTAACGCTAATTGAAAACGGTATTCCCTAAAGGGCCTCTATTTAGTTTGATAAAATAAAGAGTACTCTCCTCGATTTTCTTTGATTTTTTTATTTGACATTTCATGATTTTTAATATTCCGTGCCATATTTTTTATTTATAGATTAATATACTTAAGAAAAATTTAATGTATTAAAATTGCATTTCAAATTAAATCCACTGAATTTATATTAAATTTATGAGAAATTTACTTAAATAGGACTAAAACATAATGACTTTCCCAATATAGGACCATATGTTTTTATTTCTCAATTTAGGACTTTTGGTCATTATCAAGTAGTCATTATTCAACTAAATGTCCATCATTACTAGACATTATTCCTTCCACTAGGTCATTATTAAGTCCTATTTAGGGAATAAAAAAGTTTAAGTCCTACATTATGAAAGTCATTATGTTTTAGTCCTATTTAGTGCAAATTTCACTAAATTTATATCAGAATGATGATTGAGGAATGAGGACCTACACAAAAATTAGGAAACGCGTGGTAATGTGGTTTAAATGTGGTGCTATTCCATGGATCCATTTTTTGACAAAAACGGAAAGTATGACTTTTGGGTGGGTGGGGGGAATGTAATGATAAAAAATCAAAAGTACTCCCTCCGTCCCATTATATTTGTCCACTTTCATTTTTGCACACCATCCAATGCACTTCTTTAATTTATTTTATCTTGTAATTTGTATATTAAAAAATTATAAAAATTATATATTAATAATCTATATGTTAAAACAAATCAAACAAGATCACATATGACTATATTTAGGCTTAGATATTTAGAGAATTTGATGAGTCAAAGTGCTTAGATGAACAGTTCCAAAAGTCAAAAGTGGACGAATATAGCGGGACGGAGGTAGTATAATGGAATTATTTACTTTTGTTACTCCCACTTTCGGTGGACCAATTCAACATCGGTTTTAACTTTTAAGGACTCCACATAGGGGTGTGCACCGGTCCAAAACCGGACCGGACTGGACCAAAACCGGTTAGGACCGGAACCGGAATCAAGATATTCTTAAGACCGGAGACCGGACCTGTTGGTTACCAGTTCGGACCGGTCCGGATCTGAATATTCGGTCCGGTCCGGGTTTACCCTAATATGGACTGGATTATTGTATTTGTTTGAACTTATACCAAAAAGTACTCCACAAATCCACCATAATTTACTAGAAATCAATAAGATAAGAAATGTAATAAAGGAGTATTAACAAAATTCATATGAAAACAAATGGGCTGGCGAATGAGATGCAGATGAGGAGAAGGAGATGCGGCTGGCGGCTGGTGAGAGCGAGATGGCGCCGGCAAGAACAAGATGCGGCTAACGGCGAGAACGACTGGAGACTGGCGACGGCTGTAATTTTATTGTGAGATGCGGCTCTGGTCTCTGGTCTCCATTGGCGAGATGCGGCGAAGGAGTCTGGGACTGGGAGGAGCCGACTGACGAAGACACGAAGTGACGAGATTAGGAAAACAAGATGTTGGGGCTCTGGTCTTAGGTTTGTTTAATTGGACTTGGATTGAATAATGAGTGTTGGGCTTGGATAGTTGAATACTTGAATTAGTGGATAGGAATAATAGGATAGGTATAAAAAATTAAGAATAATAATGTATTTAATAATTCCGGTCCGGACCGGTTATTTTCGGGTCTTAGACCGGACCGGAACCCGGAATCTAAAATTTATTAAGACCGGAGACTGGACCTGATTACTCCGGGTCGGTCCGGACCGGTCCATTCCGGTTCGGTTCAGGTCTAATTTCCTGTCAAGACCGGTTCCTGCACACCCCTAACTCCACATACTCCCTAATAAATAAAAATAATAAAACAACGTATAGTCCCTCACTCCAAACATGGCGTGATCTTACGCGTGACCATAGAAAAGAACATTAAATTATTATTTTTTACGCGTGATAAATAAATAAATATATAAATAAAATTGATACATAAATAAATCAATCAATTAATTAATAGCTAAATAAATAGATAAGTAAATAATACGGAGTATATAAATAAATAAACAGTCCTTCCCCATGTAAAATTCATGAATCGATTTGTGAGAAAAAAAAGATTGTTTTCTGATTTTCTTTTTTGAGAATTTGGTGTAGAAATAAACAAATTATATATTTAAGAACCACATTAAAAAATTTTTGAAATAAAATATGATACTCCGTATAATTATATTATTCCACAATTGATCGATAACAACACATAAGTGAATAAAATCATAATGAATTATTGAATTTAGAACAATATATAGTTTAAAATTTTATTTGAGCAAAGAAAGAATATATATTGCAAAGCATGTAATACGATATAATTATATAGGTAATCAGTGCAATTTTTAATATTCAGAGGTAAACCATGCAATTTCTAAAGAATTCGTGGGTAAACGGTGCACGTTTCTCAATGAAAAAGAATGTAATTAAAATGATGATCTAAATAATCAAGGAGTATTTTTTTAAAGGGAAAATAATTAAGGAGTATTTTGGTGGCCTATATTTTGAATTCTCTCTCTCTTGAGCGCCATGAATTTGGCTGATATTTCTTCGTAGTCGGGCAGCTTAGGATGGACATGGTCCGGGAACGAAATGGACCGGGAAATACGGTCCAGTACGCTCTCCTCAATGGGTTTCCTCTCATTGGCGGCCCGCACATATGGCGGCCCATCTCTCTCATTCTTCTTGTCATTCATCACCATTTTGTGGGTGCATTTTATTCCCCTTTGATCATCTTCTTCCTCATTCAAACTCCAAAAACTTTCAATCTTCTCTTCTTCTTTTTCATCTTCCCCATCAATGGATTTGTTGAAAAGTATCAAGGCGAGAAAGCGACTAGGCGGCGAGTTGAAGACGAAAAATCTTTGATCTTGCACGTACGGATCCGTGCTCTTGTTTTCGAACTCTGTAATCTCGCCCACCATTTCCTCCTTTTCTTTCCTCGGGGACGACCTTTTATTTTCCTGCCATTTCCATGACCATAATCAAGAAATTAGAGCAGTCACTGCTTATATAACAAAAGATCTTTTTGAGACAGAAGGAATATTATATGGAGAATTTACTTAAATATAACTAAAACACAATGATTTTTCCTAAATAGTATCACATATGTTTTTCTTCCCAATGTAGCACTTTTAGTCATTATGCATTAGTCATTATTCAAGTAAATATTCGTCATCACCGGACATTATGGACATTATTAAATGCTATTTAAAGAATAAAACAGTTTAAGTGCTATTTATGGAAATGACTTAAGTTTTAGTGCTATTTAGTGCAAATATTTCATATTATTTACCTGTTTTTGCCACTCAGGAGTGTAATCAAGGAGCAATGGTGGCCCATGATGAAAGCAGCTCCTAGAGATTTCCTCCACCAATCTATGCTTCACTTCTTCTGTTACACACTTTGTGGACAAACAATCTTTGATCTGTTTCCAATAATTAATAAAGAGTTCTTTCGTTCATTAATACGAGTACTCAGTAATAAAACAGAAAAAAGAACAAAAAAAGGTTTCGAAATGAACCTGGGTATCGACAAGATTGCCGGGGAGGAGATGGAGAGCCACGTTCACAAATCTCTGGCCATATCGTCCGGCGAAGAGCTTTCTGATTGCCCGAAGCTCCGGCAGGTCGCCCAGTCTCGCCGATGAGTATATCAACGTCGACACCGCTTCGTTTATCTCATTCGGACAGTCTCTGATACATGAACGTACAAAAAACATTCAACTTTTTTTTTATAATAAAAAAATGATTTTTTTGAGAGTAATATATGAAAGCTTACTTGTGTCTGCGTATGTAGGGAAGATTAATGATGATGAATTCACAATAATGGTCCAAAATGTCGTATGTTGCCACCAGATTTTCGTCCATAAACAAGTGTTCAACCTGAAATTTTGTACATTAATTAATTAATCAATGCTAGTTCATACCCTACATATAAGTAAACAATCTGTAATCAATGGGTAATTAATTAATTAATTAATTTAATCACAGTAAAATTTAATTTTTACCCTATCAAGAACGAGGGGGTGATGGCCATTTCGGAGAAGCTCAACCAAATCCTCCCTTAACTGCCTTGCAATGCAACTTCTCTTGTTCTTCACCAGCTTCAGTCTGCACTGCACCCTTCCTATCATTTTCTTGCTGTAAAAACTCAACTTACACGCAGTAAATATTTAATGGAAAAAACAGAGTGAAAAAAAAAACATTAGTTGAACTTCGTAAAATGAAATTACCATTTGGAAGCTTTTCTCCAGCCAAAGAGTTTAAGGAAGATGGCTGCCATGCAGCCAAACTCTGGGTTTACAATCCTTCTTGAAATGGGTAATTCGAAGGTGTTCATTGGAAGAAATGAACTGATGGTCCCATTTGGCTATCACTGTTTAGTTCATTTATACAGAGTATATATATATTTCCTTTTATTTGTTTTACTGGGTAGTTATTTCACGATGGTGGGTTTCACAATAACCAAATTTTGATCATTTTTTGAACCATTTAATAATTTAATTAAAAAAAAAAACAGTATTGCAAAGGAGCTGCTGGGCAGATTTTGGATGGAGTCAATCAAAGGAGGAGGTTATCCAATTGGGGTTTCAATTCTTGAAATGGCGAGGACGGGTTGGGTTTGGTTACCCAATTAGCCACAAAGAAACTGATTGAGGGAAGCGTGGCCGCGGCGTGCGATCATGGGCGTTAAGGTCAGCCCATTATCTTTAACTTCCTAAATTCTTGGGGCATTAAGGCTTGCAGTTCAGGTGTTTGTTGTAATGCTCATGAGAGATTTATGCAGATTTTTGTTTAAGGTTTCCATTAAAACTCTATACCAAAAACAAGAACAAGAACAAGAAAATGGCTAATCACACGAAAAAAAAGATTCTATCTTTGAATCAAAAAAGCTTCCCGGGTTCAGTTTGAGACTCAAGCTTGAGCGTCTGTTTCTATTTCTTGAGCCAGTTCCTCGGTCAACTTGTCTGCCCGGTCATCTTGCCCTCCTGCGAAGCTATAGATCCGAAATGCGAGCTGGAATGCCCTCCATAGTACCTTTACACTTCCCCTCCTTCTTTCCTCAATCCCTTCTCGCCTTTCCTGCAGTGGGTATTAGCCATTTATTTGAGAAATTCTTTATGCACATAAGCTGTTTGTGGAAATTCCTCCAATGGTGTACATTAAGAATTACAATGTTTGCAATGTGGGTGGTATTCATGTAGAGTACCTTCAGCGCGAGTTCCATGCAGCTTGAAGAAATGTCAACCATGGCTTCCTTCACCCGATCGACGATGCTGAAGTCGAAGGAGATATTGTTGCCCAGAAACTTCTTCCTGTCTTCCTCTTTGTTCCTTTCCACTGTTTCTATTTCTCTCTTAATCTGGTTCACAAATTCAATGTTCATCTCAAACCCATGTGAGTGCAGATTAAAAGAATCAAAGAAGTTATGTTTCTTTACAGTTTTTTTTACCTTGTTGAAGTATCTTTCAACCTTATCAAGAACCTCTCCAAGAGGAGGCTCCACCTTCCAGTTCTTCAAGGTGTCTATAGTTTCTTCCAGTTTCGTGTACAATGCCGCTGCTTCCCTGAGCGATTCCAGTTTCTTGAAAGGGAAATCTTCAAACCTGGCGAGCACCTTGGATTCGTCTGTCAGTTTATCTAAATGTTTCTCCACTTCCTTGCAAAACTGAAGGAGCTCCGGCATGTCCTTCGCTTGAAAGGAATTGATGGCTTTCATAAGCTCAATGATTTCTTGATGGTGTTTATTCACATCTTCTTCTATACGCTGAAAATACGCCGACCTCTTCATCATCTCCTCAATTGCCTTGTCCAATCCGTGTTTGTCGCTAGAGGGGGCCCCGCCCACAAGAGTTCTCTTTCCCACTACATTTCTCACCACCTGTTGGATATGCCCCTCCAACTTCCTCTTGAGTGTTTGGTACCACGTGACCATACGGATTGATCTTTTCAGTTTCCCAATGGCCTTCTTGGTTTTGAGGCCCTTTGGTGGAGGTGGTGGAGGTGGGGCCATTATTGCCGCTGGTTTGGGAGGTGGGCTCTTTGACAGATGCGCCAAGCGAAGAGGCTTTGAGGGTGGGAGGAGGGGAAGGTTGGTTGAGAGAGAGCGCAATGGAATCCCTCTGTGCATTCCAACATCAGGACCTGGATTTGGAGGGGATACCGGGTCACTTTTCGCATTGTGATCTTCACTCTCAACACCATCATCATCATCATCATCATGCCATGGGCGCGCCTTTCCAACCTACGTAAGTTTTTTTTAAAGATACATTCATTCAGAATTATTACGAATGCATGCGCGCCGAACTTTGATGATCAACCCCTGCATTTCATCAAAAAATGGATTTACCTGTTTCTTGCCTGCGCGTTTTCTTGAAGTTGTTGTTGGTAAAATGTGTAACCCAATGGCCATTGTGTGACCTGCCCCTAGCAGATTAATTTGCCTCTAAAAGATCCCAGAAATTGCCGGATAAGAAGGAAATCAATTCCCAGAAATTGTAGTATACAAAGGGGGACAAAGAGAGAAGAAGAATATGAAGATCCCTCTTTCTTCCTCCTTTGAATGGCCAACCTTGCTAATTGTGACGCTAAAGCTTGTTCTTTTTTGGGTTATTATTAAAAATATTTTTTTAAAAGAGAACCTGATGCATTTTATTAAATTAATACGGAGTAAATAAGCATAAAGAATACAAAGAATTGATATGAAAAATTAGTTTAAATTGAAAAAATTGAAACTAGACTTTCTTTTTTGGACTCTCCTCTATAAGAGTTGCATTCTAACAATATTTTGATCTCTAGATGAAAATACAAACAACTTGAAACCAGTGTCCCAAGCAACATAAACTGAAATCCATCAGCAACACCTAATAACTTGAGCAGAAGACTTAGAAACACAGCTCCCCATCCTCCTAAAACTAGCAATGGAGACCAAAGCCGACTTCACCGCACCCACGACCACTTTCCTCAACTTCTCCGACCTCGTCCTGGGCTCCTGCTGCAGCTTGTAGCTCTGCAGGAAGACCAGTCGCCGCCTCGCCCTCTCCCGCCGGTAGCTCAGGGATCCCCACCCCAGAGCTCTGCTGCTGCCGCCGCGGCTCCTCATCACCTGTTTCTTGGGAACAGTTCCCCAGCTTCTCCGGCCTTCTTCTTCTTCTTCCCTTTGGTCTTGATCCAGCGGCTCGTAGCAGTCGGATCTCCTGCTGAAACGCAGCGTGCTGCGGCGGGTTTCTGCTAGAGTCGCCGCCATTGTTGTTAGGCTTAGGCTAGCTCGAGCTCAAAGATGAGAGCTTGATGAGTGATGGATTGGCTCTTGGGTAGCAGTGGCATATATATGTATATGTATATGACTAGAGCTGGCAAATCGGTCGGTCAGGTCGGGTTCGGGTTCGGTCACTTCAAGTTCGGGTTATTTCGGGTTCGGGTCAATTCGGGTTCGGGTTGAGAACTGTATGTTCATGACCCAGTGTCATCGGGTTCGGGTCGACCTAACGGGTTAAGACTTTGGTTTTTTAAATTTTTAAATTCACATTAACACTTACATTTTCTATTAAATAAATTTAAAATATCAAAAAAAAGTATTAAATCTTTAATATTATTTTATTTTAAACTCTAAAGTAGTTTTTATATATATAAATAAATATAAGAAATTTAAAAATGCTTACGTTTTGGAAAAAAGTAAGATAATTTTGCAATATCATTAAAATTTTATCTGAAAATNTTAAATTTTTAAATTCACATTAACACTTACATTTTCTATTAAATAAATTTAAAATATCAAAAAAAAGTATTAAATCTTTAATATTATTTTATTTTAAACTCTAAAGTAGTTTTTATATATATAAATAAATATAAGAAATTTAAAAATGCTTACGTTTTGGAAAAAAGTAAGATAATTTTGCAATATCATTAAAATTTTATCTGAAAATATAAATTTATACACTAAAAACGAGTAAAAAAGTATATAAATTTAAAAAATTCTTACGTTAACGGTCGGTCAGGTCGGGTTCGGTCGGGTTTGACCCATTTTTAGCGGGTCATTTCGGGTTCTGTCAACTTCGAGTTCGGTCATCAAAACCTTTGTTCAAAACCCAGGTCGGGTCACTTTTTGCCAGGTCTATATGTGACTCAGAAAGATCAAGATAGGTGTTCTTTAATTTGAAGTTAGGAGAAGTTTGACTAGGACTAGGAAGAATTTCTCAGGAGAGACTTGTTCTTCTTCTTAGATGGTGGGCAGGTGAGTTTCCGGTCTAGTAGTGTGAGGCACCCGCGGTTGAAAAGTCAGAAGTCATTAATTCAGTCAAAACTCAAGTTGATGGATGAATATCTAGATTGAGTACACCAAATCCAACTCGAAATAAGTTCCTTTAATTAAATAATGAACTAATTGTATTACAAGAGAGTATATATACGAGATAATTCTAAGACATGTGAGATTCTATATAGGAATAGAAGTTGACTAATATGTAAACACTACCATAAATAATACTACCTCCGTCCCGCTATATTCGTCCACTTTTGACTTTTAGAACTGTTCATCTAAGCACTTTGACTCATCAAATTCTCTCAATGTGTAAGCCTAAATATAGTCATGTGTGATCTTGTTTGATTTGTCTTAACATATACATTATTAATATATAATTTCTATAATTTTTTAATTTACAAATTATAAAATAAAATGGATTAAAGAAGTGTATTGGATGGTGTGTAAAAATTAAAGTGGACAAATACTCTGGGACGGAGGGAGTACTTCGTAATAGTAATAATAATAATAATAATAATATAATAATAATAATAATAATAATAATAATAATAATTCTTATGGTATCTTAACAAGTTTCACCAATGTTACTTTTTTTTTGAAACCACCAATGTTACTTAAACTTTGAGGTTATTTTAAATTTGATCTCTAAACCTTATTTTGTCTCAATAAAATATTTGGACTTTGGAGAACCTTTCACAAATATTTTGGATTAAATTATAATTTTATATTTTCTCTGTCCCAAAAAGAAAAATAAAGAAAATTAATTTGAGGGTACATTTTCGAAAATAATTCTGCCAAATAGTGCGGGTGAAAGGTGTTATATTTTGACAAAAAAGTCCAAATGAGACAATAAATTTGGGAAGGGGTAATACCGAGTAGTACTCCCCCCATCGTAATTTAAGTCGATTTTCACTATTTATCGAGGCAAATTTCATTTATTTTTTTATAGTTATTTTCATTACTCATTTCATATTAAAATATAGTCATGTCACTTTTTATTTTGTAGAATTTTTGATTTAGTTTTTAAATATCTAATTTTTAATTTTCAATTCTACCCAGTTCTCAAATAAATTAAATTGAAAAATGTAAAATGTAAGGGATTAAGACTAAAGTAGGAGTAAAACATTGAAGATATATCAAAATAAGAGTGTCATGTTTTTAATACTGAAAAGGAGTTAAATGTATTTACATTACCAATCACTACCATATACATGACCAAAAAGTATAGTGATATGCACATGTATAGTGCCACATTATCACAGAGAAAACTTCTATTTACCAAATAAAAATATGAAACTCCTATTTTGATATTTTTTCTATGTTTTATTCTTATTTAGGATGATTTCTTAAACTGTAACAGACATTTTATTTGGGACAAACGAAGCATAAGAATTGACGAAACATTGTGGTATACAATTAAATTAATGTTGAGAAACAATATTTGAAGAAATCATGTGAATAGAGGTAAAATATAATCCTTATCCCTAAAATAAGAATTTAAATTTTTATCTTAAAATAAGGGTTTAGAATGTGTCAATGTAGCACTATATATTGACATTCCAGTGATTCCACAATACTTTTTAGTATTATATGTTGGTATTATTGAAATTGTAGCTTTATTTTTAAAAATAAAACATGAAACTCTTTTTTTTGATATTTTTTCAATATTTCACTCCTAGTTTAATCTTTTTTCTTTGATTTGAGAAGGTATTAGGGGTGGCAGATCTTATGAATGTTTGGCCAATACGGAATAGCAGTTATAATACTCCCTTCATTCTAAAATGATCTTCCCAGTTCAGTTTACGAGGTTTGACTGAAATTATTTTCAATTTAATTTATTCGATTATAGGTGTAAAATTAAAAAACTAAAATTATATATTTTAAAACTACATGAAAAGGTCTACAAAACAAAATGTGTCATGACTATAATATTTTATCAAATAACTAACAAAAATAGGTAAATAAAGTAATTATAGCTTGATCATATGAATAATGTCTAGGAAGATCATTTTAAGACGTAGAGAGTATGACATAGTACTTTTGAGTACTATCTATATTAGTAGTTTTGACTATTAGTTAGTAGTTTTAAGCAGAGATTAATTCATAAATGATCATTTGTAAGGTGGAGGGTATACATTCCTTTCAGACCTTTTTTACTGCATTATCTTTCTCTTTTACATTAATTTAATACGGAGTACTTTTCCTACTATAAGTGGGGGTGTACATGCGCCAATTCGCCTATTGACTACAATTTTTTTTAATTAACTTAAACTTTTAATACAAATAAATTTTAAAATATACAAACCAATGTAAGAATTATTTAAAAAATTAGAAACCAAAAAGATATTACTCTCTATTTAGAATTTGAAACAAAGAAACCAAAATGAATTATAGCCATTTAATTTTTTTTAGAGAGTAAAACTAGATTTGTAAGGAATGGGGTGAGGTTTAAAATGGGTATGAAATAAATATATGTTGTGTTTGTATATATAGATTGTAATTATTCATTAAAAACAAATTATTTGCGGAGAAAACATTTTATATGGAGTATAATTTTGGGGGCATGTGGAGGGGCGGAGTTGTTTGTTGGGGGTTGCATATCATTGTATTGCATTCACTCTAATGGCACTTCTAAGATTAGTAACTTTTTTATCCCTACTGAATAAATGTTGTTTGTCTTGACATGGGGGTGGGTGGGGTGGGGTGGGGGTAGGGTTGTAAATGAATCGAATATTTTTTGTTCGATTCGTGATTCGTATTAGTTTAAAGTGATTCGTATTCGATTTTTTCAAATCCGAATATGAATACAAATCTGAATAAATATTCGAATCCTTATCGAATACGAATATGAATCTAAGGGTATTCGATTCGTGAGTTTGACAAATATATTCAGAATATAAATCTAGTTATACAATTATATATATATATATATATATATATATATATATATATATATATATATATATATATATATATATATATATATAGATTTTGGTTCTGGTGAGAATGAGATCTTAGGAGAGAAATAAGAATAGATCTGGGGCGTTGGATGGAATACTCTAGCCGTTTCTCTTGTTTCAATTACCGTGGGCATTCTTGTATTTTCCACTTTTCTGATTCTCTCTCTCTCTCGTTAGCGTCAATCGTTTCCGCAGGATCAGGGAGTTTCCATCTTCTTCTCTTGTCTAATTCTTCCTTTTAATATCTACGATTTTCTTCAATCTTTTGTCATTAATAAAATTAATTTCTTTAATCTTTCCATTTTAATTGTTTAGATGGGAAATTTCATGAATTCTTTTACCTTCCTGGCTTAATTCTTGTTGGCGATGCAGATCGTATGGTATGGATGAGGCGGAGCTTGGCACGAGAACAATGATTAATGTCAAATCACTGTAAACTATTTCCAAAATAATAGTTGTTTTGGATTCATTTGGTAATTCCCTTGAATCATATTTATTCAAAGAATGATAAACTTTTATCAGATTGCAGGGTATGGACGAATCTTGAATTCTTTTGGTGATTCCCTTTGAATGATAAATTTTTAGTTTTTGCATTGGCAAGGACTGCATAGCAATGAACTCACTGTAATCTTATTTATTCAATATCATTCACCAATTTGTTTCTCTGTTTTGCAGTTTCAGGATGCACTGGATTATGACCCGAAATGCATCATAGATGAACTGCATAGCAATGAACTCACTGTAATTTTATTTATTCAAATGTCATTCACCAATTTGTTTCTCTGTTTTGCAGTTTCAGGATGCACTAGATTATGACCCGAAATGCATCATAGATGAACTGCATATCAATGAACTCACTCTAATCTTATTTATTCAATGTCATTCACTAATTTGTTTCTCTATTTTGCAGTTTCAGGATGCACTGGATTATGACCCGAAATGCATCATAGATGAACTGCATAGCAATGAACTCACTGAAATCTTATTTATTCAATGTCATTCACCAATTTGTTTCTCTGTTTTGCAGTTTCAGGATGCACTGGATTATGACCCAAAATGCATCATAGATGAACTGCATAGCAATGAACTCACTGTAATCTTATTTATTCAATGTCATTCACCAATTTGTTTCTCTGTTTTGCAGTTTCAGGATGCACTGGATTATGATCCGAAATACATCATAGATGATCAAGACCCGACATGTGCATCGCAATTACCAAGGTATTTGCTCACTCTATCTGAATTGAATTCTCCAAATGGTTTCAAATATTTGTCTGTATTCTAATTTGAATTTACTTCTGTTTGATATTTAGAACCATATTTAGAACCATTCTTTATTTTCCCTAAAAAATTGATAAAGTTATAGTTCATCTAAGAATGCTCACAATTTTGTTACCCCATATAATCCATGTATATGTGCTTTCTTTTTTTTTTTTGAAGTTCCTTTTATCTTTCATAATTCATATATCGATGGCAAATGAGGTCACATCTATTGTGCATAGATTACTAGAGTGTATGGGATAATTAAAAAATTCATGAATACAAGATACACAACATTTGCAGAGGGATTCTTTGTTAAACAAGCAGTCTCAGTGCTCATTATTCATAGTTCTTTGTGTGGAAGTACATTTTATGCAATCGCGTGGGACTTAAGAATGTGTTTTATTACCGCTTTTTTCCATTTTGTAATTGATGCTATGTGGCAATTGATGCTATTTGAGTGTGTTTTATATGATGTTTCATTTACGAGTTGTAAGTAATGGAGTTGATGCTCTCTAGAGTAATTAACACCTGTTTATTTTTTACATATAAATCAATTTAAATTGTTTTTGTCTATTAGCTCAAATGGTAGAGCAATATGCACTTGCATATAGATGTGGGTTCGAATCCCGCATAGGCAAATCTTCAATTACTTTATTTATGTAGTGTCACTACTTTGCTATTATATATTTTGTGAAATACATTTTGAGAAGCCTATTTTAGCAAAATACACTCTTACTATTTTGAGCAAAGCTAATACAGGAGACACCAAATATTGTTGCATCCAGCACCACCAGGAAATGCTAGATATATAGAAGCTTCAGAGTGCAATATATAAATATGAAATGCAATCATGTTCATATGCATGCGTCACCATCTAGTATAAAAAGCAAATATGCTCTCAAATAATTCTATAGGCTCGTGTTTAAATATTGCTCCAGGTATGAGTTAAAGTGCAACTCTGAACTGTTTAAATGCACAATGTGGTCATTACAAGAAATATTTGTATACATAGTATAATTAAAAAACAAAACTTCAAAGTGGTCAAATTCTGAGAAAAGATAATTCATTTCTTTTTTTAGATTTCTTTCCATCTGACATCAAACTAGGCACATTAAATTAACATTATGGTTAAAATATATTTGGTTTTCACCCCTTTGATAGAACAAAAAAATATAACAAAGGACTTGTTTATCGTATAGATTAAAAAATATTAATCGGGATTACAATCAAAATGTACTATGCATAATGTAAAAATGCTATTCAAATACTCATAGATGCACTAATAACCAAATCAATTAAGTGATCTTTATTTATATTTGCATGAATATACTTTTAACAAATATCCCAAAACATTCATAAGTCCTACTACCCTAATCTTCTTTGGCTGAAGCATGACACAACTGAAGCACATCACAAGGTAGAAACAAAAACACACACTATCTGTTTAGAGGAAAATGAAGGAACCCAACTCTTTGTCATCCTCATTACTGCACTCTTCATTATATGCCGCATCTTCATCTGCTTCCTCCTCTCCATCTTCACAACCTTCATTTTCATCATCTTCATCAACCTCGTCCTCAACATCTCTGTGGCTTTCAGAATCTCCAACAACCATGTCGTCATCAAGTGTGTTGTTTTCATTTTTTCATCTACTCTGTCATCATCTGCAACCTCCATATGCACAGGTCAACTCCTTGGCTTATTTTTCAATTTAACATTTATCAACCTCTTGCTTTGGCATCTTGTTGATGTTGATGCAGTTAAATTACCAGTTTTACTCCCCTTTACCACAACTCCCTTATTTATTTCTCCACCTTCTTTACCTGAATCAATTTCATTATTTCATTAAATCACTTCACACCATTCTAAGTTCTAATGCTTAAATAAAACAAGATTATGCATACACCAGTTTTCATATTCTCAGTTCTAATGCTTAAATTTAAATACAACATCCATACGCAAACACTCATAAATCATCTCAAATTCATCAATAACATTTA